CTTTCTCTTTAATAATTTTGTTGTGGTGGTGGTGTTGGTGGTGGTAATACTATTGTAGCATCAAGAAGAGAGGAGCAGCATGAACTTGTCAAGCTACAGAGGACAATGCCAGGCATGATACTCTTCTCTCTGGTACTGGGGATGGAATTCTACAAACTCCAAATTACTCCGGTCAGCCTACCTCCCGTTAGGTTCTGCCATTAAGGAGCAAAGACAGAGATAAGAAAGCCCGGACAAGAGACGAACCTGCTCATTTCTTGATTCCTGTCCACAGTGACCCTTCGCTCCAGAAGTAGTGGTTAGTTTCTGATCCAGGCTATAATCCCATCACTCCTAGAGCCCACCTAGTCCCGCCCACTGAGGAACTGGCACTCCCGTGTCCAGGCTCTAAAACACCAACAGCACTCCACCGAGCCCCTTCCTCGGAGGTGGGCATCCTAATTTTGCAGCATTTTGACTTTGATAACTTCAGCTCCTTCTTTTACTACCCCTCCACCTTAGAGTTGGCTGCTAGATGCTTCCTGCAGATATCACCTTAGTGTTTCCTCCATATTCCCTCTTTTTGTTTTCAGTGTTTGAACACCAGACTGCAGAATCTCTGTATTAAGTTTAATCATTTCATCTACATGGAGTGGTGTCTTTTGTCTTGCGTGGACCCTTGTCTGATACATACTGCCTCTTAACACATGTGAAAACATACTGGAGGAGTACCCAATAGTTGGAAGAAAATTATCAAAGAAAATTTCTTTGAGGAGCTGGTGTCTGAGCTGAATCTTCAGCGTGGAAATGTTTATAGAATGTTTTACGAAGTTCCTAGCATAAATAAAAATATTCAAGATGAATATTTTTTCTCCTGTTTGCCCATATTGCCACTGTGACTCTTTTTGATTATTACTAAACTACTATTATGAGGAATAATCAGGGATTAGAGAGCTAAAAAGGTTCTGGAAATGGGGGGTGTGGTCATTCTTGGGCATGAGATGAGGACACAGAAGGGCACCTAGAACATGTAGATGCACAGAGAGCATGACATAGGGAAGGGTAAGTCATTCATAGATGGGCTTCCAGATGGAAGAGGAAAAGTTGAAGGGAGTTAGGGTACAACAGAGTGTGTGAACTGTGAGACTAGGTTTGCATATGGTTCTGAGAAGGCCAGGAAGCTAGTAGACCGACGGCTGACATTCCGTACAGAGCAGTCTCTCTGATGGAAGTCCAGTTACATTTCCAAAGGAGACACATGTGGGTTGAGGTTGACCAGGGATGAGTCTATGCACATTTCTGTTGAAGGTTAAGGCTGTTGGACATGAATCGGTGAGAGTGGGTATGGGGAGAACAGAAGAGATTTGGAAATCAGGAAGTAGAATCGGCAGTGTCAGTGACTGATTTGTTGTAAAAGGAGAAAAATAAGAAGAAATTAACTTGTGAAGCAAGCTTTCTGGCAACGACAAGAGTGTGCATGGAAGTGCCAGCCATCAGCACAATGCTTCTAGAAAGAGGAACAGAGCTGGATTAAGATTCTTAGTTCAGTTTAAAACCTGACATGTGTTTTGGTCCATGTGGGCTGCAAAGTACCATAGACTTGGTGGCTTGTAAACAGCAGAAATGTACTGCCACAGTTCCGGAGGCTGGAAGTCTGAGACCAGGTGAAGGCCCTTGAAGACGTGTCCTTGAATCCTCATGTGGGGGAAGGGATCAGGGATCTCTCTGTAGCCTCTTAAACAGGCACTAACCCCATTCCTGAGGGCCCAGCCCATGACCTTAAGTACCTCCCAGAGACCTTCTAATAGCATCACACTGGGCGATAAGATTCAACACATGAATTATGAGGACACAAGCATTCAGATGCTAGCTGTGTGTTTTAGCTATCTATATGAAGTAAGCTCCATAGATGTAGCAAACTTGTCTGTCTTGTTCATGATTTACATTCCTGACAGCTACTATAACATCAGGCAGAGAACAATCACACCAACATTGTTCATGGAAGGAATGATGTTTGATTGTGAAGGAAAGAATGTATTATGAATTTTTAGCACATAAATAATAGATGTTCCCAGAGAAGAATCTAGAAAAAAAAAAAATAAGTAGGTTTGATAAAATAGGAAAAAAAATCTAATCACTAACTTTAAAAAAAAACCCACAAAAAACCCTAAGTTTTGTATTGCCAAGAAAATAGTTTGTATTGCAAAGCCATTTGCAAAAATATGTTATTTTATCTCCAGAGTTCCACAGCATCATGTTTTGTACATGGATTCATTCATCTAGTCAAAAAGTGAGTGTCTGCTCTGTACCAGGCACTGCTCTAAACTGTGAATCCCATAACAAAGAGAACAAAGTCACTGCCCTCGTGGTGCTTATATTCTCATGGGTTGAGATGCACATATAAGTAGTAAATTATGTCGTGTGTCATAAGTAATCAGCCCTGTGGAAAAATAATCAAGTGTGTTCATTTAGTGGATGCCCCAAGAAGGGTAGTAACAGGTCAGGTCGTCATGGGGATGAGAAGGCTGATTGGTTCAGGCAAAGGGGTGAGCAAATTCTCAAGTAAGGTTGTGCCTTTCAGGTAAGAGAAACAGCCCTGGCAGGGCTTGAAGCCACAGCGGTGGCCTGGCGAGCAGCTCCTGTAAGGTTACAGCCGCCCTACTCAGAGCTGGTGGCCGAGACAAAGCCCCAGCTAACGTTTAACTTGTATACAGTGACCTGTAAGCATGGGAAAGGATGCTTAACCAAGTTTGAAAGCAAACAAAAATTAGAGTAATTTGGACTTTGGCCTGATAAATGAACAAAATAGATGATGCATCATGCTGTTGAAAATATAAGAAAATGGGCCATATTACATTCAGCTCAAGGGGAGTGCACATTTGGACAATTATTTTTAGCACTACCCTACTTAGAAGATTTAAATTTTAATGCTTTGGACCCTGTCATTTTAGTTCTGAGAGTATTCCAGTAATATTATCAGAGAGAAACTTCAAGATGTATTTATGAGGAAATTTATTTATTATAAAACTGCATAAGATAATAACAAATTTAGAAATTCCCTAACATAGTAAAATGCATTCTGATACCTCTGTTAAATAGAATATTAGACAGCCATCAAATATGGAAGCCATCTCTGGCACAGACCATCGAAGAGCCCAAGTACCTGTTTTATCCCCCCTTTCCTGATAGAAACTCCATGTTTTTAGCTAGGCCTTTGGCCACGTAGAACAGACACTTCACTTCACCATTTCTGTGCCGCCCTGAGTTACTCTGGGGGACTTAGTGGTGGTTCTTGGCTTCCAGGAAGAGAAGGCTTCCCGAAAGGGAGGGGCCTGTATCTTCTGTGTCTTCCCCTTTCTTGCTGGCTGGAGGGCTGCATTCGCGGTGTACCAGTAAGAGCTGCAGCTCCAACAGCATCTCTGACCAAGCCGTGATCTCTGAGATGCTCAGAGGTGCTCAGTGACAAGGACAGAAGGGACAGCCTGAGGACATCTTGGAGACCCCCCGCCCCCCAGTCAGCCCTGGATGGCTTTCCCCAGCCCTCAGAGGCTCACGCTGTTTGCCTTACTCATCAGAATCCTCGGTGGTTATTTTGAAAAAAGAAAAGTGCACGTCACAGAGTATCTTACATGGTTATGTTTCTAAATACATCTGTGAGTTTGTATATGTGGGGAGAGAGAGAGAGACAGCAGGATGGAGGAAAGGGAACATAAATCATTTCACGGAACACATGATTTTTCACTTCCCTCTTTATAACTTTCCATTCTAAAGGGATATTCTTACATAATCGTATTGTTCTCAGGATTAAAACAAAGTAAAGCTTTTTTTTTTTTTAGTGCTTATATAAATTGGCCTTCATTTGCAGTTTGAATGTTAAAATAATGAATATACAGATACAGATATATATTGGTAATTTTTTTTAAAAATCAACATTCTGATAATTTTTTCATTGTTAAAAATACAATTTTATTTTTTAAAAAATTTATTATGTTCAGTTAGCCACCAAATAGTACATCATTAGTTTTTGATGTAGTGTTCAATGATTCATTAATTGCATATTACACTCAGTGCTCATCACAAAATGTGCCCTCTTTAATGCCCACCACCCTGTTACCCAATCCCCCTCCCTTCAGAAACCCTCAGTTTATTTCCCAGAGTCCAGAGTCTCTCATGGTTTGTCTCCCTCTCTGATTTCTCCCCCTTCAGTTTTCCCTCCCTTCCCCTACGGTCCTCTGTGCTGTCCCTTATATTGCACATATGAGTGAAACCATATGATAATTGTCTTTCTCTGTTTGACTTACTTTACTCAGCATAATCCCCTCCAGTCCCATCCATGTCGATGCAAATCGTGGGTATTCATCCTTTCTGATGGCTGAGTAATATCCCATTGTATATATGGACCACATCTTCTTTGTCCATTCATCTGTCAATGGACATCTCAGCTCTTTCCACAGTTTGGCTATTGTGGACATTGCTGCCGTGAACATTGGGGTGCACATGCCCCATCTTTTCACTACATCTGTGTCTTTGGGATAAATACCCAGTAGCACAATCGCTGGGTCATAGGGTAGCTCTATTTTTAATGTCTTGAGGAGCCTCCACACTGTTTTCCAAAGTGGCTGCACCACCTTGCATTCCCACCAACAGTGTAAGAGGGTTCCCGTTTCTCCGCATCCTTGTCAACATTTGTTGTTTCCTGTTTTGTTAATTTTTGCCATTCTAACGGGTGTAAGGTGGTATCTCATTACATTCTGATCATTTTAAAAAATTACTACTTAGGAATAAATTCACACTGGCCTTTATATGTTTTTAGGGGGACACCTGGGTGGCTCAGTCATTAAGCATCTGCCTTCAGCTCAGGTCATGATCCCAGGGTCCTGCGATTGATGCACGGGGGCCTGACCGCCTCGGCACAGACCCAACAGCCATCAGTTGACCCTGTGGTCCAGGTTGCACGGGGGCCTGACCGCCTCAGCACAGACCCAACAGCCATCAGTTGACCCTGTGGTCCAGGTTGCACGGGGGCCTGACCGCCTCGGCACAGACCCAACAGCCATCAGTTGACCCTGTGGTCCAGGTGGGCCTCATCACATACAGAGAAGGAATGAGACTTGGCCCAGCTGACTTCTTGGGGAGGAAGCCACATATCAGCTGTCTGTGCCAGGCCAATTGTTCTAGGCATGCATCGGAACAAAATATTCTCTACTCACTAGGTAGGTCATTGAAAGATATGAAGACTGAAGAATTTTCTAGCTGGCTACCATTAGACTTACAATTTCTGATAATTTCAAATGAAAGCAGGGTTTTACTGAGGGCCATTAAGAAAATGCAGAGGAGATTGACTAGTGGGCAGTTGCTCTCCGTTCCCACTCTCCACTCTAGGTTATATGTACAGACTCTGAGAAGGGAGCACCCAATTCCGTTTCTTGGAGACATTTACCTGAGATGCTTCATATGGATTTTAATTCCCAGGAAAGAGGTAGAAATATCGTGTCATGGATAATCTCTCAATCGTGGGCATCTGGATCATTGTATTTGGCTTCTCAAATGCATTTTGAACCTAAGGTAGTAAAGAAAATCTTCAGAGGTTTCCTAAGAGGGAAATCTGGACTTCTCTCTTAGGAGTATAGTGCATCTCTATTGGCTATAGTGCATATATGAACAAAATATTATCATCAAAAGCATTTTCTGAATAAATAAGGCTATCAGAGTCAGAGAAACTCACTCTGGTTCCATGCGGTACTTCAAAAAAAACCTCCTCTTTAAGCAAACCTGGGGTACAGGAAGGGGTGTCATGATGGCTTAAGATCTTTCAGGATTCCCAAAAAAAGGGTTTGAAAATGGTTGCACAGCTTTCTGGGGCATAACAGTGAAAAGACAAGAAGAACCCTACCTTTCGGAAAATCTCCTCCAAATGGTGACAACAAGAATACTCTCCTAAGTAGTAGATAAGCTGGGAAATGAAGACAGAGCCCTCTGTGTTCAATCTCCAAGAAACATTATCTGCAAATAAAAGGCATTGAAATACTGGGAGATGTGTCCTTCGTATAAGTGTAGAGGACTCTTGGAGCCATAGCTTTTGGTCACGGTTTGATTTTGATGCTTTGGAGAGAGAGAGACAAATCTGGATAAAGCTGGGGTGTCAGGTTTCCACAGCGGGCAAAGAGAAAACCATCATGGGCCCTCAGTCGAAAACGCCCTGCGTGTGTTCCTAGGCAGAGCCAAAGTTATCCCCCAACTGCTGCAGGAAGTGGAAAAGAACAGAATTCCTTCAGCACTTACTATATAATCAAAAAAAAAATCTAGATCTTGCCATTCCTTGAGTCTGGACCTCTTCATCTGCACTGTTTGCTAATGTAATATTGTACCCGTACTTTTTTATCACGAACGTTGTTTGAGCCTCTGCTTCTCCTCACTGTTGCAGTGTGATCAGAAAGCCAATCGTCCCCTGTTCGTCCCTTTACCTGCAGCTGCCTCCCTGCTTCTTCTTCCTTTTCATAGTTACATTTCTCGGGCTTGTCTCACTCACCATGTTCACACGCTCGTAGCCCGCTCACCCCGGGCTCCTGTCTGCCTCCCCCTATAACTTCACGCAGAGCTCCCCCATGACCAGCCATGACCTCTGAGTCATTAAACCTCACGGTCCCTTACTGAGCCTCACCTGTACCTGATCCCTCATTCAAATCAGAAACTGGCCGTAACTCCCAGATTCTTTCTGGGTAACTCTGACAACACATGCTCGTCTTACTTTGCTTTCCTATACTCCAGCCATACTCTCGGAGTCCACTCTGTGGACTGGGACTTCCGTCTCTCCCAGTTCAATCCCCTGCTTTGGGATGTCTTCTCAATCTGCTCCCTGTTTGTGGATCATTTTGTCCATTGTTAGAACATTAAAGCTAATCCCTAGGCAATCATGTCCCCAAATCCTGATGCCGATCTCTTTTCTGAAATATACAGCCTTGTAACTCTCTTCTTTTCCTCCTGAAGTATGCTGAAGGCATCTCACACTTTCTGGCAGGACTCCCATTTTAATGAAGGCACCACAATCATCCCTGGTGACCTCGAGTCCTCTGTGTCACCCCTTCTCATTCACCTGCCATATCCGCTGAACACCAGGTCATACAAATTTCACATACTAATTATTTCTGGATTCAACAGCTATGTCTTCCCAAGACTGGCATTATCACCTGTGGCCCATGATACAGCAGTCACATTTTAACCTTCCTCCCCATATCGCCTCTTGCTGTACCATAACCCATTCCCCAGAGAACCCCCAGAGTGGTCATCTAAAAATGTCAGTCTTATCATTGCCTGGTGTACCTTTCACCAAAATTTCCTATTACTATTACTGTAAAGTAATATTAGTAATAAAGCAAGTCAACATAAAAGATCAAATCCTTCCCTAACATATGAGGTCTCAAATTATACAGCCCCTGCCTACCCCTCCATCCTCTCTCTTGCTACTGGCCCCTGGCTCCATGCTCCAGACGCACTGGCCCTGTTTTCCAAGCTCCTCTCTTTCCCAGGTTCTCTGTGTACACTGCTTTTTCTATCTGGAATGTCCTTCTCTTACTATTGACATAGTTAACTCCTTCATTTTTCAACACGTTTTTCCTGAAAGCACATAACAGGGTCGACAGTTATTATGTACTTGTGTGAGGTGGTGCCTGTATTTTCCTCTCAGTCCATCTCTGCCCCTCTGCTCGTCACTCCATAAGGCTCAGCAAGCACGTCTGCTTCAGCTGTGCATCATGTGCCCCGAAACAGTTGTCTCCATTCATCGTTACATGTACAGAAAGGAATGGAGGAATTACACATAGTAGACTTCATGCCCTTAACTTAAACAGTCTCTTAGAGCATACATCAGGCTGGATATGCCTTTTTAACTTCCTTTAGTAGCTAAAAGTAGAGAGCTCTTCTTTCCAATAAAACTTTATTCAAACTCCAACATGTAAGACAAAGTAGAGCTGTTCCAGGTATGGAATGGGTGTTTCCCACATGGCCTATTTCCTGTTTCCCCAGACTAGACTCAGAGCATCCTCCTGGGCCAGCAGAATCTCAGGCCCTCCCCTGGACCTACAAATTGGAACTCTACATGTAATGACATTCTGTGCACATCCAGGTTTGTAATCACTACACCAGAGCACTTAGAGCTGTGACTTGTATGGGGCGCCTGGGTGGCTCAGTTGGTTGGGCCTCTGCCTTCGGCTCAGGTCATGAACCCAGGGTCTTGGAATCGAGCCCCGCGTTGGGCTCCCTGCTTCGTGGGGAGACTGCTCCCCCTGCTTGTGCTCACTCTCTCTCTCTCAAATAAAATTCTTAAAAAGAACTGTGACTTATGTAAACTAGATTCTGGAAATTGCCTGGGTTCTGTAAATCACTCATAAAACAATACCATAGATGACGATTAAATAGATTTCCCACAGGTTTGACCATGATCAATTCGGCGTATCTTCTGTTTCTATCTTTTACTATTTCTTTCCTGCCAAAGAAGGATTTTCAGTCGTTGTCTCCATTATACTGAAGTCAGGTATTTGAATGTTAACTAAATTTTTAAGACTAGACTCAAATAACCAGCCAAGAGGTTCTAGAATGTGTGAAGCAAGTATTACAGTGTTACTTGATTGCCTTGTTTAACCGCTAGTAGATGATCAGGTGGACCAAACCATGGGACTAAAATACACTTCTGTGCCATTGCTATATTAAGTAAACAATCAAACAAACAAAAACAACTCTTCATTTATTTATAGTTACACTATTTTAAGTTTGGATCCTCACGAAAGTCCAGTTTACTTTGAAAGTTTCCTCCAAAATCAAGACTTTCAGCTTTCTAGTTATAAAAATAATCTCAATATTTTAAACCTCTTCTCTATAAAGTCTATCATTAGAGAAGAGATGTTCTTCTATTAGTGATCAGGTAGGATCATAGCCAAGCCTGTGATCTGGAAACTGATAGGAGATTGAGAGACTGCTCTCTAAAGTCACTTACGTGGAGTCGAAGATTTGAAAGCGATGAAGTCCTTCTCCACGTGGGTCTTTTCTATGGCATCACTGGCGATATAACGCTGCAAGGGCTGGTAATATGTCCACGCAAACGCTTCTCCCACATCAGTCACCCAGACGGTCCCGTCACCTCCTGGAAGAGACACCCTTGTCTTATGAAAGAAGTTACACACACTGACACACACACAAAATCTCTTCTACCATTCTACCCTTACTTCAGTACATTCCAATGTGGAATTTATTAAAAATGCAAGTATGTTACTACTAGAAAAACCAACTCACTGACTGGGAACCATACAGAGCCCACTTAACATTTAGAATGACCTTGTCCTGAAGGATCGGGACATTTGTTACTATTCTGGCATGCTTCACACTTCTTAAAAAATGATACAGACTTAATTTCTCTCTTTTTTTTTAAGATTGTTTATTCATTGATTTGAGAGACAGAGCAAGCAGGCGTGTGAGCACATGAAAGAGCAGGGGAGGGGGAGGGAAAAGCAGACTCCCCGCTGAGCAGGGAGCACGATGCAGGGCTCGATCCCAGGACCCTGGGATCATGACCTGAGCCGAAGGTAGACGCTTAACGACTGAGCCACCCAGGTGCCCCCAGACCTAATTTCTTTCTGGCCCAGACCTGAGTGCAGTTCTAAAATGTTGTCCCTGTCACCCATCCTTGGGAAAACGAAGGCTAGCTGCTAGGCGAATAGAAAAAGATGCCTGGACCCACCCTGGGTCCCGTAACCCCAACTCACTGCCTCGGCAGGCCTGCGTGATGATGACCTTGGGCTTGTCTTTGAGACTCTGGCAGTTACGGTTGTTGAAAATCTGGAAGATGGTGTCATCGGGAAGAATGTCCGGCTCTTCATCTCTGTGCTTCGTGCCACAGATCCCGTCCAGGGTGCCGTGGGACATGAACACCAGGAACGTGCTGTCGGAGAATTGGTGCTCTTGGCGGGTGGCAAAGTTCTTCAGTTCCGTTTTCATTTCCTGAAAGAATCTCCAGGGTCACTACCTAGGAGCTCTCCATCTACAGTTTGTACTCAAAAAGTAGGTGGAGCAGGCTTTAAGGAATCAGACGGTTTGGACAGAATGGAATTGTGAGAGAAATTTCGTTCTGACATAAAACCAGAAAATTAGATATATAGAATGTAAAGGTTAGCAGGGTTTTGTTTTGCTTTTAAGATTTATTTATTTATTTGAGAGAGAGAAAGAAGAGAGAGAGAGAATTGTGGGAGGGGCAGAGAGAGGGGGAGAATCTCAAGCAGTCTCCATGCTGAGCACAGAGCCCAACACAGGGCTCGATCTCAGGATGCTGAGATCATGACCTGAGCCAAAACCAAGACTAGGAGGCTCAAACCAGGCACCCCTAGCGGGTTTTTCATACAGCGTGTAGCCCAGTGGTTTTCAGTAGAACCTTAGGCTGGGGGAGGTGCTGGGAGGTGGAGTATAAGGAAGGGCACGTGAGGTGGCAGGTCTCCCACCGGAAGGCTTTCTTTTCATCTGTATTACATGTTGGGGGGGGGAGTTTTAAGTTAAAACTTTTAATAAAAACTTAGGGGACTAAGTTTTTATTAAAAAAGAGTGAGACAGAGAGTAAGGGACTGTTTCCTATTGACATAAAGTAGAGACACTTAACAAATTTCTTCTGAGGTTTCAAATGGTTTGTCCAAAGTCACCCAAGATATTTTTTTGGCAGAGACAGGATCACAACTTTGTGTGTATGTGTGTGCTCACAATCTTTTTTTTTTTTGACTGCATACTTGGCTTTACATTTAGACACATAATATTGAAATTATAAAGGCCTCAGAGTTGTGTCTTCCATAGACTATCAAGTCATCGGTGCCTCCCAAACTGAGAGCATTAGAAAGATCCAATATTTTTAGTGAAATACTACCCTATAAATCTTTGCTATAAAAATGTGCATTGGAAGAGGCTGAAACCCAGGGATGCCTATTCTGGAGAAAGAGAATTCCTGTAACATGCACTGTGTTCTTCTAGCTGCAAAGGAAGAAGTCCAGGAAGGAAGCTTATCCCACTATCCTGGGCCATTACCAGAGCTGTGAGATTTTCCTTAATAACCACCGAATATCCAAGGTTTTCAAGCAGGCCTTGCATCCCTGAAATGTCATTTTCAGAGCCTTCTCGCTCAGAAAGATAGTCAAATTCTTTGTTGCAAATGATGAGGGCCAGGCGGGTTCGGCCCTCCTTCTCCATCACTGGATATATCTGCAAATAATAGACACAGGGTGAGTTACATGTGGCCTCCCCACTTTTGCCTGCAAAGTCCACACAAAACAGACTGGATGGCTGGAGGACTTGGGGATGGAGATAGGTACTCATGCAGAAAGACACAGGACTCCAGACTGAAAGCATGTACAGTAGCTGAGCATGCACTCCGGGAACCTGGCTTTGGTTCGGTGGTGGGGAGGAGTTTCAAGTATGTTGGAGGACGGGCTGAAACAGACAGGAAATCTGATGGAAGGGCCACTTAATTAGGTGACATGATTAAATAACATTCTATGCCTTTTGGGCTGATCCAAAGGCATCTGTATCAAGAACTAAAATTCCCAGTGGGTTCCCAGTATGCAGTTTGAGTGGACAGTCTTGTGTGTTCCTACTCCAAAGGGTGTTACCTCATGTAGTCTTACAGTCTTCAGTCCTTGAGAATGCTTACAGGGACAAAGCTTCAGCACGTCCACTTGGGAAGCCTGGATTTCCTGAATAACTATGAAAGAAAAAAAATAACTCTTTAGGGAGTGGCACCCCCTGCCTTGCAGTCACGGAGATCTTTTCACTGGGCTCTCATTCTTTGGAAACGCTTACTGCCATCCCTTCAAAAAGCTTCATATAACAAGAAAACCATTTTGTATAAAAAATGACAAAAACAAAAATCTTGAGTAGTCCCTCTTTCTTTTTGCTTCTTGCTGACCCCACCGCCAGTTTCTGTTTCTGTCAGTGATCATGATATGGGCTAATCTTTCATACCCAGCACATTAGACTCACATAAGCACAGTACCCAAGATCTGGAAGGAGGCCTCATGATCATCTGGCCTGGTCAAGTCATTATTCAGATATCTGAACTCCACTCACAGTATCCCTACTGTGTTGTTATTACCACTAGTGAAATGTCTCCACTAACGGGAAACTTGCAGTGTTCTAAAGCACTCTGAACAGTTCTGAGGATCCCAAAGCATGATCCTTGTAAGCATTGGTATGTATTTCCTGCACTGGGACCATCCAGAAAAATGTCTAATTCCTTTCCCGCTGAAAGCTCATGAATATTTCTATGGCTTCAAAATATCTTACCTTGTGTTTCGATTATTTTATGTAAATGCTCCAGAAAAACAATGATTATATTTTATCTTAATTGTGTTTACTGTATGGTAAGCTTAATTAGGACAGGGAAGGTGTGTTTAATTTTTGTATTTCCAGCATCTAGAATGATAGTCTGGCACAGATTAAAAGTTTATAACTGCTTGTTAATGAATCATTACCTTCAGATACTTGAAAATAGCCACCAGGTATCTGCCACTTTCTCCTGCCTTTTGTTTTTCCAGAGGGAAACCAGCCTTCTGTTCCTTCCAGTATCTTTGTGTAAGAATGATTTCATCTTTTGAACCAAGCAATCTGTTAATCTGCCTGCAGCTCTCCCCATCTACTGTCCTCCCCAATAAAAGGAAGGAATATACTTCCTCCTGTCTTAAGTGACTCTCTTTGTGCCCGGAATTCCAATTCCTCTCCCCCGCAAGATCTTGACTCAGGCGTTTATTCAGCCCCGTCCCATCCCTCTCCCTCTTCCCCCTGCAGTGTTCGCCCCATGGCATATCACGTGCCTTCACACCCCTCTGTCTCACAAACACCTCCCCTTCAGCTGTTGTCCCGAGTCCATGTCTCAGCACAACTCCTTAAAGGTTGTGTCCTGCTGCACTGTTTCCATTTTTTCAACTCTCATTTTGTTCTTGTGTGCAACACACCCTAGCTGTCACTCTCACCCTCAAATCCTTGTGATCAAAGTTCCCACTGACCATTTATTGCTTTTTCAGCATTTACTCTGGTGGAACACATCTTCTTCCTTCCTTGAACAGTGTTCTCCAGGATTCTGTGATGCTGCGTGTTATGGCCGTTCTTCCTCAAGCTGCTGGCTTTCGCTCTTCTGCCACATGTCTAAAAGTTGGGTCTTTCTACATTAGACCATCTGTTACCCTCTGTGAGTCACCTCTGCCCAGGTGGCCTCTTCAGGCACATCATCCTACCTACTGTCTACATGCTCCTGAATCCCCAGAGCTATTCCTAGGCCTGGTTCTTCTGTGAACAACTGGGTTGAATACACCTGTGTATTCAATATCTACCCTGGGCTGTACTATACACATCAAAGTGAACATGTACAGGGAAGGACTCCTAATATTTGTCCATGCCTAGAGATCTGTTTCTCCTGAGTTTTCCCTCAACTACAAGTTTTCTTCTACCTCAGTTAGTCATAAGCTTCACCTAGTTGACAACCAAAACCAAGATTCATCCTGATTCCTCTTCTTCCTGCATTAGTGCAAAACCTATCCATCCTTGGTTTTTGTTGACTCTACCTCCAAAAGAGATCAGATGTTACCACTTCTCATCCTCTCTATTAGTACAACCCCAGGCTAAAAGCTATTATTTTTTAACTGAAATATTTGAATACCCTTGGCCTTTCTGATGCTATGCTTCTTTATCATTCCTCCATTTAAATACTTCTAAAGCCTTTCTATTGCAAGTAAAATCCTTCTTTCTCACTTTCAAAAGGCCCAGAGTAGTATGGTAGCTTCAGCCTAAGTCCATAACGGCTTTTCCTACCATGTACCCTAATTTGCTACTCTCCCATCAGATTGGCTTTTTGACATGACACGTCCATATGTGCTCAGGGCCCTTGGACTTGCTTCCTTCCCATGGGATGCTTTTGCTTTAGATTGTGGCACAAACCCCTCTCTATAGTTCAAGTATGTACCAAAATATCACCCCAAATGAGTTCTCATAATTGTTCACCCTGGCCCACATGCCTCGCCTCTTTTCTCTTGTGCATTTCCTGACTTGTACTATTTTTTTCATGTTTACTGTCCATGCATCTTCACTACACTGTCAACTCCATGAAAGCAGGACCTTGATTTATCTTGCTTTCTGCTATAAACAGTGATTAGAAGACTAGACAGTAGTTTTCAGTTAATATGTGTGTGTGTATATATATATATATATATAGCAAATAAAAATTAAGAAGTTTTTATGCCTTTGTAAACTTGTCCAGAACATCTGAAAATATGGTACTCGCAACACAATACAACACTACCCCTTTCTAGACACAGAGATTCTTTGATGTGGTTTAATAACTCATCAGTTTCTTTAGTGATCACACAGTATGTGTAACTAGTCCTGCTGTGTGTTTCTGAACGTGCTTTTCTTAAACACGTCCTTACTCTGTTTATGCAGCTGTTACTTGCTTATCTGTTTGATGTTTTATGAATCTTTTAAAGTTGTTATTAATATCATTGAAAACTATGAGTTCCAGAAAGGTTGGGTTATTTACACCAGAGAACATGGTTAGTCAGTGGCAGTATTGGGCTCAGTGTAGAGATTGCTTGCGTTTCATTCCAGTTCTCTTTCCACTGCAGTGTACGGACTCTCCATCTGCCTTAGCTCACAGAATGTCACCAAGCATCCATGACACTGCCTGTCATAGGCAGAAGCCATGCGTGCAGCCTCCAAGCCTCTCCCTAATTTCATGACCTTCACTTTCACTT